CCCCCCCCCTGCTCTGTGTCGTGCTACTGCTGCTTGTCGTTCATGCGAATGCTACGCTGGGCGCAGATGGCCATGATCTACTTCGGTGCCCGTGTCGTGACGGACTACCTCGTCATGGTCGCAGAACCCATACGCAGGTACAACGATTGTTGACGCTCTCCCTGTTGGTATGGTCGTATTCGTCATGTGTTCGACTTGACCCCCCCCACTTCGCAAGGTGAGGGGGGAAGACGTTTCCGCTCAGTGTTGACGTCGTTAGCACATTGTGAATCGACGGAGTCTTAGCGCGCACTTGGAATCCCTCCAAACAGAGAGAACCACTCACGTAGGCACCGGCCGATTTTACGCGCGAGTGTTGTGCACAGCCCGAAACTACAGAGTACCGCATTGTCAATAGATTGGGTGCTTCACCTTATTGAAGTACGAGCGTATCGTTGATTTGTACGTTGATACACCTAGAGAGAGAAAACACGAACTTGGGGGTGACTATGCGCGGAAAGCTTGTAGTCGACCTTTTCAACTCAACTGAAAAACTTGGCATCGTTATCGGTGTTGAAAACTCTCGAAAACAAATCTGGGAGAACAAGACGCCCGGGTAATACACCGAAAGGGAGGGAGAAAGAACGGAAAAGGAACCACGATGGTAGCGTTAGAAACGTCAGGGCTGGGGTGTGGGTTAGTGTGTCGTTTGCACGAATCTATTTTCAAAACTCAGCGAACTGAAGTAGAGAGTATGGAGTGGATGAGAAGGGGGCCACAGACCCTCCCTCCCCCCGAGCCTCTGCGTCATGGTCAACGGCACCGCAAAACCAATGTTTCAATTCCCCCCCCCGGCCTCCCGCATTGGTACATAGGAAACTTGGTCTCATGACTGCAGTGCACACGCCATGGAGCGGCCTGATCCAAGCTGGCTTGACGGTGCTGGGATTTAGTTACCACCGACACACTCTGCACACCGCAAGCGTTACTGGCTTTCATCCCCTAGTGGTGGGACCTGGGGCAGTGGGACTAGTGGAACCTTTGGTGAGTTTTCTTTTGTTTTCTTTTGGGGTCTCTCCAAAGTTCGTGGTATGTTGATTTCGTAAGGTTGAAACCACACAACTTGCACGAAATGTTCGTCAATCCTGGAACGGTTTTGATGAGCCGTACGAAATTCCAAACCATTCGTGTGCGAGCTGTGCACGATTGCCGCACCACTTCGACCCTGGTCAAATGCAGCGTCTGGCGCAAACGGGCGCTTGTTGACTGTTCGTCTTTCTTGATGGGTAGATGGGAATAACGGTAACGTAGAGGAAGTAGTTGTTTGTTCACCAGCTCAACTGCTGTTGGTTGTACCTGCTCGGTGTTACTGAAATTTAAACTATCGCGTGTGCTTTTTTTGCGGTCGCCACGTCTGCTGTGTTTGCTGGATTCTGGTCGGTGGTGATGGTGCTCCTCTCCCTCTGCTTGATACCACTGCTTCTGGGTGACCCCTCTCTGTTTTAGGTGCGAGTTGCCGTCTGGGTGAGCGAGGTCTTGCACAGAATCGAGTTCTTCACGGTCAACTTCGTCGCGTCACGCGGCAAGTAGGCTACTACTGCTACGAATGGTGAATCGTGATCGTCGTTGCTGACGCACGAAAAGCCGGATGCGGTGCAAGTGCCCTCTTTCTAGTCCGTGGTGTCTGCGCTAAACCTACGACTAGCTGCCTGTCGCTGGTGTTCATTTGTACAAGCAGAAAAAAAAAAGGAGGGGGGGGGGGGGACNGAAGGGTGCGCTGCATCCTGCTAAGGGTGTTCGGCATCTTGTGCTTACTTCCTTGCGTACGGATGACAGCTGCGTATGAATTAATTTACTTTCTGGTGCTTCACTTCCAGAGACAGTTGTTAGCACTGTGAAATTGCCTCGAGAGTGCTTGACCATCTTAACACAAAGTGGTGCGATCATGCCCCTTGCACGGAGTGGGGGTTCTCGACCCCGCACAACATGATCTACTCGACCACCATTATGGTTACCGCCAAAAAAAAGAGGTAAAAAAAAACACGGTAACCTGGTTGCCGAGTTCACGAAGTGAATGGCTTGTTTTACAACGTCGTTGCCAAGCGACGAAAACCCAACCCCGAT